TATTATTGCAAAAAATGTTAATTTTCCAGTTGCAAATCTTCACACAGTCTGGAATTTCGTTTCCACCCATGTTTGTGTGTATAATTTGTTAAGATTAAGAATATGCATTTTCTTATATTTTACACGAAAGAGGGTTATGATCAAAGTTTAAAACATGACTGTGTAATATTTATGATTATTAATTCGCGCTATACATATGTTAGATAAACGGTGCTTAGTAATTTCTCACTACGGTAACTAATTTAACAACTAAACTACGTACTGTACATCCAGAGATCCAAATGTATGTGCGCGTCTCGCTCTACCTTTAAAATGAAACTAATATTTACTGTGGTTTTTGGATCATTTCTGGTAAGATTTCATCCATATGAACTAATTTGCTTTAATTAACCTTTTCACAATTTCTAAGCATTTGATTAAATACAAATTATGTGTTTTATGTGTTGTTTTTATTGTTTATTAAATATCATGAATTACATGTCTGTATCGAGATTCATAATCTAATATCATGAGTTAAGGTCTAAATTATTAACCGATATATACTTTTCCTTCTTCTTTCAAAAAACATTTTATGAGAAAATTATATAGTTTTGTATTGATCCCATTCTTTAATCACAGTTATATGTCACTTTGGAATAAATAATAACGTATGATAATTGTTGTTTTTTAAAATAACTCTTAAGCCCCTCAATTGGCAATGCGATTATAATAGTGGCGATAGTTAGTGTCTGATTGCAGAGTTTATAATATTTGCTTTTTGTAAGGTTTATCATGACGCTGTTTAAAAATGAATGTTCAACAAGTTTTTTGCCTCTATTTTACTCTATATAAGTCACCAGCCACGTCACCAGTCACGTCACCAGTCACATCGCTAGCCACGACATTAGCCACGTCACCAGTCACATCGCTAGCCACGTCACCAGTCACATCCCTAGCCAAGTCACCAGCCACGTCACCAGTCACATTGCTAGCCACGACATTAGCCACGTCACCAGTCACATTGCTAGCCACGACATTAGCCACGTCACCAGTCACATCGCTAGCCACGACTTTAGCCACGTCACCAATCATATCACTAGCCACGACATTAGCCACGTCACCAGTCACATTGCTAGCCACGTCACCAGTCACATCGCTAGCCACGACATTAGCCATGTCACCAGTCACATCGCTAGCCACGTCACCAGTCACATCCCTAGCCAAGTCGCCAGCCACGTCACCAGTCACCAGACACAACAACGGTTCCTTGTACACTTTGTTTGGGCCCCACTGGTTTCAAAGAAAATTTGGCATCGTTATGTTTTAAAAGATTATGAAAACTCTAATTTTTCGTAATATTTGCTGGATACTTATTTATATAATGTGATCTACAACTTCAAACAGAAGTACACTACAACTTTACACAGTCAATTAATTTCAAACCCCATAACACGAGATTGCCATGACCCCATCTTGCTGGTTCAAAGTTTTTGTGATCAATATGTTTATGTTTATCATTTACACAATTAATCAGGATAAAAAGATTTTGTTCAATCTGAAATGGGATTATTCTGTTGCAGATTAGTCAAAGCTTAGCTGATATTTCATCATTTTCGGAGAAGGAGACGGAAATCAAAGGCCATGGTAAAACCGATGTTCATTTAATCATTATTCTTTAATTTAGCAGTTATTTTTAAACTTAGGTAACAACATGTATGCGTGTTTGTTTGTTTGAGTGTAAGTCTGATCCAGCTTAAAACCAAATTAAACTATAGCGATGTTTAATCTGAATGAAATAATATCACCACTATATGAACGAATTCTTTGATAAGTGTTATTTACAAACGAATGAAGAAAAGTGTTGAATCATGACATGGTCAAAACTAAACATTTTTAACAATCTAGCAACAGCTGTAACATAATAAATATTAAAATAAAGTGAAGACCAAGGCATCACAGTGGTGGCTAAGTTGACGCCACATCAGCCCCCCGCAGAGACTGGAAGTCCAGGAAGCTTGAGCTTTACATTTCGACCAGATCGAGTTGTATAGTTTGGAGGTTTGAGGGATGTGCTCGAAGATTGTATATTTTGTGGCTCTTTGATTGTTGGATGATTACATTTGTCAGGTAACACATAGGCAGGCTTCACCCTGTTTAAGCTCACTCACACTTGTTTGCCCTCAAAGCAAGGTCAATTAAAACAAACTGTATTATTTTACGATCGAAGGCGGATAATCCGATTGTCGGTTAATACGAGGTCGGTTAAGAGGGGGTCTACTAATATAATAAAATATTGGAAAACTATACAGACGAATAAAACAATATGGTACCGTACATTATTTATTGGGAGAAATATTTTCTTTAGTCAGAGTACTGTAAAATGCTTCTACTGGATGGGGAGACTCTGAAAACTTATCTTGTCCCGTCATATATTCATATGTTATATACTTCGATGGTTAATACGCCTTTGCGTTGTAGTAGTGGATTGTCTATACATCTAAATGTATTTAAATTTGAAGCTTATTTGTATAATGGAAGGGACAGAAAGTTGTAGGAATCTAAAAATATTAAATCATCGACAGAGAATTCCCAAGTGTTCGCACCCTATCAAAACATAGGGGCTTTACGCAAATGTGACAATGTGTTGAGTATTGGAAAGATGCCTCTTGCTCTGGAGTCATTACAAGGGGAATGTATATCGCCATTTGACTTTTAATGAAGTCATAAGTCTCAAATAATCTTTCTTAAAAACGTCCATAACATTTGCGCCACTGTATAACTCTTCAGAAAAGAATCTCTCACTACAACAAATTTAAACCCAGATGGAGTATGGTTGTTAAAGTTTATAAATCATTCAAAGTCTGCATAAATTACAAATGGGGCTTTAAGTTTATGTTTATAATTTTTAAATTGTAATGTATTTTGTTTAGACATTTCAACTCCTTGGGCATCACATATTTTACAATAAGTTATATGACGTTCTAATTTATGATTAGTGAAAAAATTTTGTAAAAACAACTTACAAAAAATGCTTCTTATGGTCATATTTTGTAGACCGTAGCATTAACCTATCAAAATCACAAATTAAACAGTAATGTGGTTTACGACCTTGTTGTAATAACAATGGATCTAATTAGTATTACTGTTTAGTTTGGTTATTCTAAATGGATATATGCATTTCTCATCTTCGATCCCAAATATATTAACACTTATATTATTTTGTCTTTCAAATTTATCTATATCAGATATTTTCACAGGATACTTTATGTTTGTCATATTCAACTGATTTTAATAGGGTACATAGTTAGAGACTCTGTTAGCATGTTCATTAGAGTTCCTTGGATATAAAACTGCTAAAATCGAACAAAGGAAAGCATTTATTGTCCGACTTTTTTATATTTAAAACTGAATGTTTCGATTTAATACTTTCTGGTGTGGGAATGTATGACTTTGGTGTTAGGGGCTTATACTTGTAATTATGCAACTGTCAATATTTAGTATGGTCATACATCCATCCACTACCTTGGGCTTGATATTTCTGCATCGATGCGTCAATCTTTAAAAGAGCATTTTCAATATGAGGTTTTGAATCTCTTTTCTTAATGGTTAGGATGGTAA